CATTTTTGGGTTGAAAGTGGTATTTTGATACAGGTCCACAATCTGTAATGATTGCATTAGGCTAATTGGGATGTCCATCACCTCAAATTTTGTCTCTTCTTTGTGTTGGGAACATTGCAATTGTTCTATTCTAGCTATTTAAAAATACACAGTAAATTGTGCTTAATTATAATATCCCTAATTTACTTTCAAATACTAGAATGTATTCCTGCTATCAAACTGCATTTTTGTACCCACTGACCAACTCCTCTTTATACCTTTGCCTCCTTTCCCTTTCCAGCCTCTGGTAACCATCAGTCTACCTCTATGAGATCCACTTTTTTTTCACTCCAATATGAATGAGAACATGTGATATTTGTCTTTCCATGCCTGGCTTGTTTCACTTAACATAATGACCTCCAGTTCCATTCATGTTGCTGCAAATGATAGGATTTCATTCTTTTTGTGGTATATATACTGCACTTAAAAATTCATTCATCTGGGAGGCAAAGGCGGGTGGATCACGAGGTCAAGAGATCGAGACCACCCTGGTCAACATGGTGAAACCCTGTCTCTACTAAAAATACAAAAAATTAGCTGGGCATGGTGGCGCGTGCCTATCCCAGCTACTCGGGAGGTTGAGGCAGGAGAATTGCCTGAACCCAGGAGGTGGAGGTTGCAGTGAGCCGAGATCGCGCCATTGCACTCCAGCCTGGGTAACAAGAGCGAAACTCCATCTAAAAAAAAAAAAAATTCATTCATCTGTTGGTGTACACAGGCTGATTCCACATCTTGCCTATTGTGAACAGTACTTCAGTAAACATGGGACTGCAAATACCTCTTAAGTCTTTAATCTTTTTTAGTTAATATTGTAGGTCTTGTTAAATTTTAAAAGGGTAACAGATTTGTTAACTAGCACAGTTAAAACTAGTAAAGAATGTAACTACAAGAAAAATAATGTACATGTGTAAGCCAATGTAAAATCAAGACCCTGTACATTTATGAATTCAGATCAAATTTTGGAAACAATGATTTTCTCAGAAAAGAGGCTGTGTGTAAAGTAGATGAATTATATCTACCAAAACAATCCTTTTGGTGCTCTTATTTTGTAGTATGATACAGAACAAATTCTTTATTGACAAAATATTGATGTAAATCCATGCAAATTCTTCAAGACTTCTCCTTAAGGAACTATATACACTATCAGTGTTAGTCCTCTGAATAGTCTTCATTTCAGAACATTCTAATAATTAATGTCAACATTACAAGGTTAGAGTAGAATCATAATGAGTTGGTATTACATTATTTAACTCCGATCAGTATAAACTTGTCTTCCTTTATCAAATATGTTTAAGCATCTTTATATGCCAGGCCCTGTGATAGGCACAGGAACTGCAAGAAAGAAGAAGGCACTTTCTCTACCCTATAGGGCACATATTCCAGTAGGAAAATTGGAGGTGAGAGGGAATAGAAGGGAATATATGATTAATTGAACTTCCCGGAAGTGTCATGGTCTATGCCAGGAGCATTTTACTAACTTTTTCTTTAGTTCAGAGACCAACTTAGAAAAGTGTTTGGTATCCTTATGCAATATTTGGGGAAACTAAGGTTAAAGTAAATAAAGCAACTTGTCTATAGTTATGTGACTAGTGATAGAAAGAGAGCCTGATATTGAGGAAAGAGTATGAACTTTGAAGTCAGATAATCCAGGATGATAATTATGTTTCTGCTTCTTAATAAAAAGTGTGCTACACTCAGTGATATGCTTTGGCTGTGTCTCCACCCAAAACTCATCTTGAATTGTAGTTCTCATAATCTACTTGTGTCATGGGAGGGAGTCACTGGGAGGTAATTTAATCATGGGGGTGGTTACCACCATGCCACTGTTCTCATGATAATGAATGAGTTCTCAGGAGATCTTATGGTTTTACAAGCAGCTTTCCCTGCTTTTGTTTGGCACTTCTTGCTCCTGCCATGTGAAGAAGGACATGTTTACTTCCCCTTCTGCCACGATCGTAAGTTTCCCAAGGCCTCCCCAGGCATGTGGAACTGTGAGACAATTAAATATCTCTCCTTTATAAATTACCCAGTCTCGGGGATGTCTTTATTAGCAGTGTGAGAACAGACTAATATACTCAGTAACTCTTTTCCCCTCTTTAAGAGGTTAATATTGATGTTACTTTAGAGCTTTCCATGCCAATTACTTAAGAAAATGTACATACACCACCTGACACCTCGATAGATGGCAGTTGGAGAAAGTACAACAATTACATGTTATTACCCATATGTAAATATGTATACATATATTTATACACATGCATATATTAACACTGTATATGTTAATAGGTGTACATTTATATAAGAATTCAGAAACAAAAATTAAATCTACTTCCATGACTTTCTGCTATAATCCTATATAAGAGATAACTTCAGGTTTAGAACTTAAATTTTGTTTTTCTTCATGAAATGGCCTGTTTCTTCCTCTCAATCAGATCTTCAGAACAATTTAAATAAACCCTCTTGGTTGCCCCATAACTGTTTCTTTTGCCCTTGGGTTCCTTAGCACTAAGTAAAGATCTCTAGGACTTCTTATTTTGTCTTATTTATCTGTATCCCCCTGTCTCTCCTAAAAGAGGATAAGCTTTCAAAAAACAGAGGCCATGTCTTACTATAAGTGCTTAGGTATAATTTTCCTTGTATTAACCCTGACTAAGATCTGCTAAGGCTCTTGGATCTGTAAGTCGACATTTTCCACCAAATTTGGGAAATATTTGGCTATTATTAAATCAAAATAGTTTTCCTTCTTGTTCTTTTTCTCCTTTCCCTCTGGTATTGCAATTATATGGGAGCTTACTTGGAATTATACTTGGATCACTGCAACTCTCTGCATTTTTTTTTTTCAAACGTATCTCCTATCCATTCTCAGATTATGTAATTTCTGTTGATCATTTTAAAATATGTGAATCCTTCTTTCTCTGGTTCCAAGGTACCGTTCAGCCTATCAGAAATATTCTTCATTTCAGATATTTAACTTTTCACTTCTGAAATTTCCACTGGGTCTTTCTCATAGTTTTCATTTATCTGCAAAGATTTCTCATTGTTTACTCATATTCATTCATTTATTTAAGTCCTTGAAAAATATTAAGTTCTTGTCTGCTAATTTCAACAGTTAGGTCATTTCAATACTTCTTTCTACTGACTACTTTTTTCTTGATTAGAGGTTACACTTTTCCGCTTCTCAGATCTAATCATTTTTATTTCATGTTGGACATTCAGATGATAATTAAAGGGGTTCCTGATTATGTTAACGTCCTTTAAAAGATTTGGAATTTTGTTCTGGCAGGCAACTAAAATATGTGTTTTTCCCTGTAAATCTTGGTTTTATTTTTTTAACACTTTTATTTTGTTTTTGAATGTATGGCATTCCTGTATAGGGAATTTCTTCCTACATAGGGTGGTCTTTACTCCTAAAGAAAGGCCTTCCTGGTTTCTCCATGGTTGAGATATTCAGTGTGATGTCTTTCCACACGGGCTGAGCTGGAACTCCAACTCTCTAATTTTTGACATTTTTATCTCTCAATTTCTCAGCAGAGGATATCTGCTAGGCCCCTCAAAGTCCCATGATAATTAATGAGTCTTTTGAGCCCATCCTCTGAGTGGCTCTTTCTTCTCTGGTGCTCTGGCCTATAAACTCTAATTGCTTCTGCTGCCTATGACTCTGACCTCAGCCTCTTCAGCTCAGAAACGTTGCTGCTCCTCTCATTGTACCCCTTCTCTCTGCCCACAGAACAAAAGCTCTTCCAGACATCCATCCCAGGAGGTTGCTGGTGTATTTATGTGTGTTTCGCGTCTAACAAAGATCATAGTTCTGCACTAACAGTGCTCAATTCTTGAAGATAGATACCTCATATATTTCCTACCTTTTTCATTTGTTTACATCAGGAGGGTGAGTCTCGTACTGTCTACCCTGTCTTTGCCAGAAGTGAATATTGGTGAAAGGCAGCTGTCTCTCAAAAGTGCTAGACACTTAAGACATTAATAATTTAACGAATTGGTTAAATTATGTGTTTCATGTAAGAAAAATGTGATTTGAGACTATATAGAGAGATCCGTGCACTATTTATGATCATAATAAGCATCAGCAATAAAGATGGTTTGAGTAACCACAGAAAAGGATTTGGTACATAGTTGATCCCATCACAATGACCAAACTAGTTTGGATTCACAAAAAGGCATTAAATATTTCCTGTGTGTCTTTGTGTTCAGCACTATTTTACACATATGAACTATTTATTATCTCATCATAACAAATTTTGGAAAAGCTTGGGGTTGACTGTAAATGCTGTGTCAACACAGTTCAGCCAAAGATAGTTTCAGACAATCTCTTTCTCTCAGCTCCAAAGCTGTGCCTGCATAAAACTAAACTAAACAGATGGAAAGCAAAACGTGCTGAGGGGTACACAAACCCACATGTGTGGAGAAAAGTATCAGAAACAACATTTAATTTTTCCATTCATATAGACTCTCTAAGAGTGAAATTATACTTCATGAATATAAATATCCAAACAAAGACAACCAGCTGAAGCAAAGAAGTATTTGCATCAACTCCACATATTTGTTTAGAGTTTTCTAAAGAATGTGCTTAATTAAAAATAACCTTCAGGTGCAATAAGTTGAGTTGGTTAGTTTATTCAAAGTTACTTCTTCTTACTTGAGTGACTAGATGCACTTTTATTTTTGTTTTGGGTGAATTCAGTATCCTGAAAATGGCCAACACTTATTTGAATAATTTAAGTTATTCATTTTCAAATAAAATGTTTAAAATATAACAATTGCTTCTTAAACTAGCATTCTAAAACAATAATCTTAGAGGTGAACTGAGGTCAATAGCCATGTATAAAACTTATCCTGACTTCATATTTTTGAAGATTAGCCTTTTATTCACAACAACTTTTTCTATTCAATGCATCATTGCTACAGGTTTTGGTTTAAGAAGTAACCCCAGATATATCTAAGATCTTCACTGGCACACAGGGGCTTTAAGCATCATTGCCATTATCATTCTTGCATCATCTTCTCATCACATGAGCTTTGGTTCAAAACTCTGCTTTTAAACTATTTCAAAGTCAGATTTTTATGTGTTTCTATTGGGATATTAGAAACTAACTATCAAATTTGTTTCTTCTTAATACCCAAAGAAAGTGACTATTAAGAGGTGAAGTCTGAGACCAGAAGTAAAAAAAGTCATTGGTTCAATTTATACATGCCATTTTTACACAAAATAGTGCCAAAATTTAATGTCACATTAAAATTTTAAAATTAATTGAAGCACATTGTCTCTGTTACAGATGACATGATATTTTATGGAGAAAACCCCAATGACTTCACCAAAAAAACCATTACAGACAATAAACAAGTTCAGTAAATTTCAAGATACAAAATCAACATACAGAAATCAGTGACATTTCTATACACCAATGGTGAATTGTCTGAAAAAGAAAGCAGGAAAGCAATTTCACTTACTTACCATAGCTCCAAAAAAAAAAAAAAAAAAAAAAAAAAAAAAAACAGAATGCCTAGTAACAAATTTAACAAAGGAGGTGAAAAATCTTGGCAATGAAAACCATAAAACATTGAAGAGAGAAACTAAAGAAGGCACAAATATCTTATGTTCATGGATCAAAGAATAATATTGTTAAAATGGCCATACAACTCAAAGTACACCTCTGCATCTACTGATTGAGTGCAATCTCCATCAAAATACCAGTGACAGGCCGAGTGTGGTGGCTAACACCTTTAATCCCAGCACTTTGAGAGGCCTACATAGGTGAATCACCTGAAGTCAGGAGTTTGAAACCAGTCTGACCAACATGGTGAAACCCCATTTCTACTGAAAATATGAAAATTAGCTGCGTGTGGTTGCAAGCTCCTGTAGTCCCACATACTGGGCAGGCTGAGGCAGGACAATCGCTTGAACATGGGAAGTGGAAGTTGTGGTGAGCCGAGATAGCACCTTTGCCCTCCAGCCTGGGTGAAAGTGTGAGACTCCACCTAAAAAAAAGAAAAAATACCAATGACATTCTTCCCAAAAGGAGAGAAAATTATCCTAAAATTTTTATGGAACCACAAATGACCCCAAATAGCCAAAGCAATCTTGAGCAAAAATTACAAAATTGGAAACGTCACATGACCTGACTTCAAAATATACCACAAGGCTACAGTAACCAAAACAGCATGGTAAATGGCATAAAACTTAACACATAGACCAATGAACCAAATAGGAAACCCAGAAATAAATCCCTGCATCTACAACCCATTGATTTTTGACACAGTGCCAAGTATAGACAATAGGGAAAAGACAACCTTTTCAATAAATGATACTGGGTAAATTGGATATCCACATGGAGAAGAATGAAACTAGACCCCTATCTCTCACCATATACAAAAATCAATTCAAAATTGATTGAAGAATTAAACATAAGATCTGAAATGAAACCACTTAAAGAAAACATAGGGAAAAAGCTCTATGACATTGGTTTAGGTAAGGATTTTTTTTTTTTTAAATAAAACCTCAAAAGTTTTCTTCTAGGGTTTTTACAGTGCTAGGTCTTATGTTTAAATCTTTAATCCATCTGGAGTTAATTTTTATATAAGGTGTGAGGAATGGGTCAAGTTTCAGCTTTCTGCACATGGCTAGCCAGCTTTCCCAACACCATTCATTAAACAGGGAATCCTTTCCCCATTGCTTGTTTTTGTCAGGTTTGCCAAAGAGCAGATGATTGTAGGTGTGTGGCATTACTTCTGAGGTCTCTGTTCTGTTCCATTAGTCTCTATCTCCTAGGCAATACCATTGAGGACATAGGCATAGGCAAGGACTTCATGACTAAAACACCAAGAGCATTGGCAACAAAAGCCAAAATAGACAAATGGGATCTAATTAAAATCAAGAGCTTCTGTAAAGCAAAAGAAACAATCATTAGAGTGAACTGGTAACCAACAGAATGGGAAAAAATTTTTGACAGCTACCCATCTGACAAAGGGCTAATATCTAGAATCTACAAACAACTAAAACAGATTTATAAGAAAAATCAAACAACCCCATCAAAAAAGTGGACAAAGAATATAAACAGGCATTTTTCAAAAGAAGACATTTATTCGGTCAACAAACATATGAAAAAATGCTCATTATCACTGTCATTAGAGAGATGCAAATTAAAACCACATTGAGATACCATTTCACACCAGTTAGAATGGTGATCATTAAAAAATCCGGGGATAACAGATGTTGGAGAGGATGTGGAGAAATAGGAACACTTTTTCACTGTTGGTGGGAGTATAAATTAGTGTAACCATTGTGGAAGACAGTGTGGCAATTCCTCAGGGATCTAGAAATAGAAATACCATTTGATCCAACAATCCCATTACTGGGTATATACCTAAAGTATTATAAATCATTACATCCAAAGGAAATGAAATCAGTATTTTCAAGAGATATCTGCACGCCTATGTTTATTGTAGTATCATTCACAATAACCAAAATATAAAATCAACGTAAATGCTCATTAATGGATAAATGAATTTAAAAAGTGCTATCAAAAGGGAATATTATTCAGTCATAAAACGATAACATTTGGTCGTTTCCAGCAACATAGATGAACCTGGATGACATTATATTAAGTAAAATAAGTCAGGCATGGAAAGACAGATAGTGCAATATCTCACTTACATGTGAAATCTAAAAAGTTTTTCTTGTGGGAGTAGACAGCAGAATAGTAGTTGCCAGAGGATAAAGGGTGGGGGTTAGCAGAATAAGGTGGGATATGAGAGATTAGTCAATGGATGCAAAGTTACAGTTAAAAAGGAGGATAAGTTCTGGTGTTCTATTGAATAGCAGGATGACTAGAGTTAACAACAATGTATTATTTGTTCCAAAGAGAGGTTTCTGAATGTTCTTATTACAAGCAAATGATAAATGTTACCAGAAGTTTACTTTTTAAATATGAGACTATATCAGGACCTGACAATATCTTCTAATAAATGATTACAGGAAAATCACCTTGATTTATACTAAAAGAGACAATATTAAACAGAGGTATATTATTGGGAAATTCTCTAAAATGCTCAATGATGGCTTTAAAAATAAGAGAATATTGGGAGGCTGAGGTGGGTGGATCACAAGGTCAGAAGTTCGAGACCAGCCTGACCAATATAGTGAAATTCCGTCTTTACTAAAAAAAAAAAAAATTAGCCAGGCTTGCTGGCACTCACCTGTAGTCCCAGCTACTTGGGAGCCTGAGCCAGGACATTTGCTTGAACCCAGGAGGCGGAGGTTGCTGTGAGCCGAGATCACGCCACTGCTCTCCAACTTGGGTGACAGAGAAAGACTCCATCTCAAAAAAAAAATAAAGGAGAATACTTAAAAAATATTCTACTATTTAAAAATATAATTTCTTAACAGATGGAAATAAAGAGATTTGGTCACCAATTTAAAAACTAGTTTGTCTATGTAATTACAATTTCTTTACTCTCTGAGTATAAACAAAATATCTCGGATCCGTTCATTGCTTGTAATGTGTTGTCGTTTCTCCCTTTCTTTTTTTCTTACCCATTTAATTTGTTTACCCTTTCTTCCCCTGTGTTTCCAGCAACATAGGAGGATTTAGAAACAAAACTATCTTGAGCAGCGGAGACAATGGCAAATGGATGAAAAACTAGCTTCTTGTCTTTTGGTGGTTACTATAGCAATAATCATGATGGGAGATTTTGAGCCGCAAGTGGTTTCTATAACAACATGAGAGGGTGCTTTAGAAATAGACCTGAGGTAAACAGATTCTATAAGGGTCTCAATCCCTTTTATCCCACAGGATTAGCATCCTCTTGGAGGATGAATATTAGTTGACTTATTTGATGAAAGACTTAAAATCTTGCTTTTATTTTGTAAAGATTAAATGGTTAATTATTCTACAAAGACCTGGCTTTATTCTATCAGCTCTGAGGCTCCTTCACTTCAGGAAATAATTGATAGCATCCTTACTTTATTTCTGCACAGGGAATTGAAACAGTCTTAAAGATATGCATTTTATAGTATTCACCAAAAGTGTGGAAAACCGTAAATAGTCCTCATGAGAAAGTGTGTTCCTTCTGCCTTAGCTCACTCAAGGGCCCCTGCTTTACTAATACTTCATATACACTATGACTGTACCTGTTGGACTCCCTGACAGGTGGAGCTTTTTCTACCCTAACCAATGGAGCCTGAATACTCATCCTTTTTTAGGATATTCAGTGTGCTCCAGGGCAGACATGGTCCCTATTTGACTTATAATTCACTAGATATTACATGGGGAAGTTTAGTAATTTTTTTGAATGTATTAAGTTTCAACATCATAAAAAGTGACATAGAAAAAAGCAAAGGTCTCTATTTCACACATAAGCATCCTTCGAGAGCCCTTATAAGTGAACGATCAAGGGGAATTTATGACAGCAATGTGGTACAGGAGTAGATGGTGGTAGGCAGGATATAATTTTTCAAGAGAAAGAAAGATGGAAAGCATAATGGAGTCAAGTAGTTAAACATAGGAAGATGGGGATCAGGCTTGCTTGGTTCAGTTCAATAGTGAGTTATTGATTATCTACTCTATACTGTACACTATAGGTATATACAATGTTGAATAGTTTACAGGATTTATTTTAAAAACTAAATGATCATATCAAATAAAACACTCTCATGAAACTATTAATTAAATTAATTGATTTGAAATTAATGGATTATTTGCTTGACCTTGTTCTTCCCTCCCCACTAACCCCCAAAATATTTTAAGTGCAAAGCCATAGCCATGCTCTTCTATATGACCAGATTATGAGCAAGAATGATTTTATCTAAATTATGATATCTCATGCATTTTCTACAATAGAGCTATCCTTATGTATTTTTCTTTTTTATTCAGTTAAGCTGCCAATTCAAAATATCAGATATTCTCTTTCAACTCTCAGAAAGATGTCAGCAACCATGCATCTCTTTCCCTCTGATTTCAAAAGTATGGGCTATTCACATTTGCCTGGTGTTTTGTGCTCAGCAATGAAGCCTCAGAATTCATTACATAATCGCTTGCCATAGCCTGGAGTAGAGTTTGCCAAATGGATACCTAGGAGATCAAGACCCATTCTCCATGTGTGCCATGGGGCTGTGCACATGAGCTGAGGCATGTCTGTATTTGCCAAGGTCCTGCTCAGAACAGCATGTGCCGCAGCACACTGGGCAGGGAGCCATTCACAAACTCTTGAAAAATCGTATCCAGACCAAAGGCACAATAGTATTGTAGTTGTTGTGCTCATTGCCATGGGGCGTTTAGCTAAATAAAAAGAAAACAAATATATTCATGATGACTTCCAAGTTATCCGGTAACCACAGTAACCTGGGTTTTCCCCAAATTTGGTTCACAACTTTGAGTCACCTAAGAGAAATAAATCATTTTCTCTCTGTTCAAACATAGTGAGCCATAGAGTGAGTGAAAAAAAATTTCCCTGGAATAAAACCAATTAATCAGCAAAGCAAACAATCATCACATATTTATTTTACTATTAGGAGATCGTATTCAAAATGTTATCAAAACCAAATACATACCTCCTATATACAGGCATAATGAAAAGCATATATTATAGTTCCTGAACTTAAAGAATGTTTTTGCTAATTGTGAGGACAAGTCTTCATATATGACACGAAGAACACTTTAGGATGCATATAGATAAGTGTTAAATTGTATCTTAACAGTAATAAATGCTGTAGTCCCTCAGGCCAGAAGATCAAGGAGCATGTAAAAATGTATGGATTGATGGGAAAGGCACTCCTTGCTTTGGGCTTCTAAAAATTTGAATATACATCACAGTTAAACATTCAAAGTATTTTGAGAAATTTTTATTCATGGCTACTATGAGAATGATGTCATAAAGAAGATAATTTAAATTCTGGAGGAATAATGTCTTACTCATACCCACACATTATTTTTCTAGACTTTAGTTCTCTGTACAAAAATGTGAGAATGCTGTTGAGAGCTGCACTGTCCAATACAGTAGCCACTAATCATATGTGGCTTTTCAGTCCTTGAAATGTGACTAGAGTTAAGCGTGCTATAAGTGTAAAATACACAGTGAATTTCAAAGGCCTAATGTTAAAAGTGTAAATATTTCATTAATAACTTTTACACTGGCCAGCCACAGTGGCTCACGCCTTTAATCCCAGCATATTGGGAAGCCAAGGCGGGTGGATCACTTGAAGTTAGGAGCTCAAGACCAACCTGGCCAACATGGTGAAACTCCATCTCTACTAAAAATAGAAAAAATTAGCTGGGCATGGTGGCACATTCTTGTAATCCCAGCTACTCGGGAGGCTGAGGCATGAGAATCCCTTGAACTCAGGAGGCAGAGGTTGCAGTGAGCCGAAATCACGCGATTGCATTCCATCCTGGTTAACAGAATGAGACTCTGTCTCTGATAATAATAATAATAATTTTTATACTAATTATATATTGAAATATAATGCTTTATATATATTTAGATAAAAATAAAATATTTAAAACTAATTTGCCTGTTTGCTTTTCCTTTTTAACATGATTACAGAAGACTTAACATTCCTTATGTAGCTCACATTATACTTTCATTAGACAGCACTGGTAGAGATGCTTGCTATTTAAATGTAGTATGTGGACTAGCAGCTTCAGTATTACTTAGGAGCTTATCAGAAATGTCAAGTCTGAGGCCTCCCTCCTCCTGAATCTGCAAGGTTAACAAGATCCTTAGCAGTTCATATGAACGTTAATGTTTAGAAAATGCTGATCTAGATAATGTTTTAGATGTTTCTTTTTATAACTCCATCTTCCTTTACATTGGGATTTTTTTTCAAACAAATGTTTTAAAGTCGTTGGAGCATCCTGATCCAGCACATATTAGATGCAAAACCTTGGGGAAGTTATTTACATTCCTGAAACTCAATTCCATATTTATAAAGTGGATGTAATACCTCCCCAATCCCATAATTTGTTTATAGGGATTAAGTGAAACACAAGGGTTATGCAAGGAACCAATAAATTGGAGATGCTTTTGTTAGCAACAAAAATAATGTTGAAAAACTAGATTGTTCCAATTATTTTCATTCTTATACGGATTGCCAATACTATTTTGATATACAGTGGAATGAACTAGAGTTTGAAGGGCTGTTTTTATTTTTTTACCAATGTCACTTATTTTTTTCTTTAAAAGTAATTGTGTATGCTATGCTTACTCAGCTCATTGGTAAGTCTCCAGTGAAGATATTAAAACTTTTGGATCTGTCGTGTAGCTAAATTTTCCTGCACCATCATTTTATAATCGTTATTGAAATTAGGTGTGTTGATCATTGGTCAGTTCTTCAAAACATGGCCTTATGGAGCAGGAGAAAATTTTTCCTTTTTGTTCAGAACATTTTTAACTTTACTGTGAGAATTTCAATTTGCTAGAGCCAAAGAAACTAATAAAATATAAGTCTGCTTCATAGTAAAAGAGGACATTCAAAAGCCTGTCATTATTAAAATATACATAGAGTGTAATAAGGTCAGTGATTTCAGGCCTGATTAGCTGTAAGTAAATGTAATGTCAAAGGAATATAATTAGACCCTCATTAAAATTTTTCATGATTGACAGTAAAAATGACCTTCACAACTTACGTCATTTAGTCATGTTCTAAGGATGACAAAGGGCAGGTTATCTTCTATGAGGTAAATGTGTATGATTGAAGCCTAGCACATGCATTTGGTCCCTTACCCTACTAACCCTAACACCCAAGACCTGATGCAAGCCAGACCCTGTGCTTAGGTGTGTAGGCTATGTAAAGAAGGACCCAGAGGCTTTGATTCTCACGGGGATGCTTTGAGAGAAAAAGATACCTTTGAACCAGCAGGACCTGCTTTCATCTGTGATGATGCTGATGATCAGAAATTATATATAAAAGCATATAGCAATGTGCCTATCAGATACAGGGGATTTAAAAATATGTTCATAGAAAAGTTTCTCAGTAAGGCCACTGACCTTCTAAAGAGGAGACAATAGTAGAACAGGGATATTGGGATACAGGTGATGCTAACGCATCTTGGGCAGAACCAATCTTCTCATCTGGAGTAAGAAAGTCATGTTTCAAGGCATTTGCACAAATATTCATTGTGGTTGATGATGACGGGCACTTGCCCAGATTATTAGGTATGATTGTTAGAGAATGTTGCCAGTGATAAACTTGCATCTCTTAGAACCCCAGAACTCTCTTTGCAATATCATATCGTTTCATTTTCTTGAATTTATTCATTTGTTAAATATGTGTTTACCAAGCACCAACTATGTACATGGTACTCTGCTAGTCAACAGACGAGTGACAAGATATATGTACTTTGGACCCTGCATTGAAAGAAAAGGCAAATAATATTTTTTTAAAACTACTTTATGCCTGATTCTTACAAGGAACTTTGTGTATGTTATCTCTTTTATTCCTTTTCTTTGGTTCTTTTTTTTGTTTTTGTTTTTCTTTTATTGCTAATAATAATAACAACGACAATGATGGTTGATAATGCTGACTCTGTGCCAAGCCCTGTTAGGCGTTTTATGTTAATTAACTCTTTATAAAAACTCTATGGGATAGGTACCACTTTTATAAAAATGGAAACTGAGGTACGGAGGTGATATCTTGATAAAACTCACAG